AAGGGAAAATAATGATGGATAAAAAATTTTCGAAATTACAAAAAAATTACATCGATGATAGATATACCTACGCTATATTTTTATTCCTTTCGAAAATATAGCGCGAGGATCAAGGCCAATAGACAGGTGGACATCCGTCTGAAATACAAAGTCGTGGATGCATTGCGTTTGTTTCCTGTTCGGATCGAGATCGAGATCGAGAAATGATAAAATGGGAGGTGTTGGAAAAAAAATGATCGAAATTACAAAAATTAGATCGATGATAGATATACGTACGCTACATGTTTTTATCTCGCTTTCGAAAACGAGATTTTGCGATGTGTACAGGCCAGGATCCGCGTGAAGAACCGGAAACGGAAAGCGGACGAGCCATCCTGCCCCGTGTGCAGCGAGAGGCTGTCCGGCACGCCCGAGGAATTGAACCAACACGTGGAAAGATGCTTAAACAAACACAATAACGGAAATCCTGCTGGGCAAAACAATTTGGACGAGGAGGAGGTGGACGTGGAGGGCGATGCGGAAACTTTCGAGGAATACGAGTGGGCCGGGCAGAGGAGAGTACGGGCGTCGTCCATGCTCGTCGGAGGATTTTCTGGTAAGTTTATATCTGGATGGTAATGTAACATCGAATATCTTCCGTGTCGTGGACAGTCCTATTACTATTCTCCTCGATCCGTGATATCTATACTTTCTATATTTTCCTCTCCAATGCTGAAAATATCGCGCAGGCATATTTTTTTTTTTTCACGATATACACAGTCGTACGGATAATCAAACGCTGTGCTAAATTAAATTTCGATAATCTTGAGTGTACCGCATTGCATCTACGATATTTATCGACTCTATCTTTCATTTTTTCGAACTCGACATTTTCGATCGAAATTTTTAATTTCTTCCGAGACTTCTTACAACGGAGAATTATTCAGCAATAATTTATGAAAAGTAGATTTAATCGATGAATGGTGAATTAACGGATAGCCGCAGGTTTGGCGACGTCGTCGAGCAATCGTTCGTCGGCCGGTGGCAACAGCGGATCGAACCACCAGGAGGAGGAGGACGTGGATCTGGTGGTCGACGGGGACGACGCGGCCGAGTTCGGGCCAGCACAGTATTCCGAGGCCGACGTGGTCGCGCCTCGCATGGACGGGACGCCGAGGGAGCAGAAGGAGAGAGACGCCCTTCGGGAAGCGGTGATATCGCCGAACGCGCCCAACACGCCTCACACGCCCGAGCAAATCGGCCAAGGTTTGGTGGAGGTGAAGCCTGAACCGGGGACGACGACCCCACTCGGGCAGAGCGAGCAGGACGAGGGCGTCTCGACGTCGCCCAGAAGGGATGGCGACACGCCGGTGATCGAGGCGCTCAGAGGAAGGATTCGGGAACTCGAGGCGGAAATGCGCGGCCAACCGTTCAAATGTCTCATTTGTATGGTGAGTAGTTTTTCCTTTTTTTCTCTCGCAAAATTTCGAAAATAAGCGATTTTTTTCTCCGTAATATTTTTTTTTTTTGTTCTTTCCATCGAAACTTATTGATACTCCGTGGTAAGAATAATCGTACGCTGTACTACTTGTCGATTGAGGATAGTGTGCGTGATTCGTTTGTGCAGGAGCAATATAAGAAACCGGTGACTTCTGTCTGCTGCTGGCACGTGCATTGCGAGCAATGTTGGTTACACACGTTGGTAAGTGTGAACGAGTTACATATTCCTTCTAAAAATCTAGATCTTCTCTCGTTTTCTTATCTTTAATCCAAAGGGAAATCTCGAATTTAATATGCGAAAGAATTGTCAAACAATTGTGTTAAAAATATATTTATCGAGAATCTCTAGAATCGATCGATATTTAAACGATTTATACGTATATAGTATCCTTTGGGCCACGTTTCTTCTTTGAAAATGTATCATCAATTGAATGGAGAAATATTGAGAAGTGTTCTCGATTCACGTTTCAGGGTGCGAAAAAGCTGTGTCCACAGTGCAACATGATAACGTCGCCTTCGGATTTGCGACGTATCTACATGTGAAGGGAGTTGCCAACAAACAGGAAGCCGTTGGTTCCCGTGTTGTTCGTAGGGAAAAATCGATCGTGAAAAAAAAATTTGGGGGCAGGGGTGGGAGGGGGGAAGTGAAGAAAAGAAAAGGAAAGAAAGGGAAAAAAGAGATAATGTTTCAAAATGTTTCACACAATCGTGTAAATATCTGTATATATTTATGCGTCACGTTAAATTAAACTCCTTTTAGATTTACCACGTACGGATACGCACTGTAGCGTTAGTTTAATTAAGCCGTGAAAGGCGCGCGTGAATGATGTCTCGATCGAACCGAGTCAAGCAATGTCGATCATGCTTTTATATCATTCGTCACGCAGACCAATTTTCATTGTGCTATAATATATATATATAAAATACTTTCACGTTCCCAATAAGTTATTGCGTAACGTTAGCCAAAAGATTGTACGTTATTTTGTGAAGTAATTATAATCTCGAATCTGAACGGTCGAACATAACATGATTTCAAAAGACATTCGTGTTACAAATAATCGAATAATTTCGACGCGAATTAATTATTTCTTCACGTTCTTTTTTTTTTTTTTTTTTGTCTTCGCTTCTTTCTTTATTTAGCATACCAAGGTGAGATTCTTCAAAGAGATTCTTTAAGTTTCGTTAAAGAAATATATTTTCAACAATTTTGAAAGAATCGTTTAACGATAATTTTTATCGAAAAAGGAAAAAATTATGGAAAATAAAATTGGAATTTTTTAAAAAAAATTCTACGAAATGGTAGGAAGAATATCTTCACTCTGGTATGCTAAAGTTTAATAGTATTCTTATCATACGTTTGGATAAGCCAAACCGGTGCGGTAAATCCGATTGATTATTATCATCCATCGATAAAAATGTTCGACGATAGTATCGAGCATCGTTGTCGGATCTGATTCGAATCGAAGACTATATTCGCGCGTACCTGAAATTCTAGGTGTTATATTTCGAATGGCTAACGTCTACTTTAAAAGTCACATCACTCCTTTTCGCCGGATCTAATCACCGTTTTTCTCAATCTTTCTCTTTCGAGCAAACAAATGTATCTGTGTCTACGATTCATCGAGTTCAATTTACAAAGGACGAATATATTATGTATGTGTAAAATATAATCGACAACTTTGTTAAAAAACGCAACTATTCCCAGAGTAGGATGATTCACTGTGAACAATGAAATGGTCAATTTGAAAATAGTGGGGAGGGGGGGGGGGAATTATCGTATCCGACTCTTCCGTAATTTGTTACATTGTTGATGATATTTTTAATTTGAACTCAGGAAGAAGGAGAGCGTCCATGTTTGTTTTTTCCAACGATAAATATTACGTGGTATTTACGTAATATTTGCAATTCACACAGTGTAAAAAAAAAAAAAAAAAAAAAAAAAAAAAACAAGACAATATTAATTTCCATTGTCTTTTTAATTTTATACACGGAAACGTATATTTATTCTACTTTGCCAGTAATAAAAAACAATTTATCGTCAACGATACTTGTTTAAAAATAGATCTCACGTTATTTATAAAATATTTCCGATCATTTCAACAGGGTTGATACGATATTAATTTTGCTCAAATATGAAATTTCTCTAATATATTTAACCGGTTCCAATCAATAGGAGGAATATTCGTGAAAAAAAAAAAAAAAATATTAATTCGTTGTACAGATTAAGATGCACATTGAATTTGAAAGCAATATATACGAGGTGGAATATGTGTTTTTGAGATGTTATTTTTTTTTCTTTTTTTTTTTTTTTGTTACAAAATGCGTATTATTTACGAGTTACAATGAAATCACAAACGATACACCGGTATAATCCAATCGACCAAAGTTACGACACGAAGTTTGGATAAATTAATTAATAGTTATTAAAACGAATAACACGGATTCTTGTTTTTTTTTTATACATATATAATATATAATAAACGGATGAAACACGTTCTTATTTTAATGAGAAAAATTCATCGAGAAAAGGTACGAAGAGGGAGAAATAAAAAGGAAGAAGGATCGACCGCATAGGATCGAAATCTCGAAACTTTTCGCCATTTTTTTTTCTCGAAAGTCAGAATAATTTGCACAAACGATTCCTCTTTCGCGCATCGATCATCAAACCACGTGCGAAATATTGTTCTCGAGTAAGTGATTAAAGTTTCTTTGGATTCACATTTTTTCGAATTATCAAGAGTGGAGAAATTAATTGGATGCCTTTTTTTTAAAACAAGTTAAACCATTTCGTTTTTCCTCTCTCTAAATAAATTGATCGTTCACTTCCATCTCGAGTTAATAAATGGTGAAGCATCTAATCTACGTAAACAGTGTGACCAGGCAGGGACGATTCTCCTTACGTTATTCCTCTTGCCACAATTGAGTCACGAATGTTTCTGAATCCGTAAATGAATGCCACCAAATAATTGCGACCAACGATTGTAAAGGCAACGAATTAATTTCTACACCTGACGAAAAATGTACGATGACAATACGTTGATATCCTTGTTTTAACATTAACATTAAACGAATCGATCGAGGTGATCGATCGAGTTCGATTTATCCGTCGCTTACGAATACCAACGAATGTTTCTCAAAGCGCGAAACGATCGAATCACACCCAATGCTCTCCATCTCCCTCTATCCTTCCATCTTTCCCCTCTTTCTCTTTCTCTCTCGATCAAGATTTTAGATTCGCTGCGTGTCTCCTCGTGCACGTCGAGAAAGTTCTTGTAAATACACTTGAAATCGAGTTAAAACCAGCAGGAGAAATCGGCTCCCCGTTGCGAGCGTTGTTCTGTAATCGAAATAAAACGATCATGGAATGTAGAACCATTACGCAGTTAATTCCTTCGACCTCTGGATGCTTGATTGCGTCGCACGCAGGCGCAATGTTGAAACCGTTTTTTAGATCCTCAGATCTGCGAGGAGGAAGATTTACGAAGAACGGAAGCTCCGAAACGAGGTACGTATCGTCAATTTTGCTTATTTCGCTTTCACGGATAAATGTTAATGTTCATCGACTGAAATATTAGATCGTGAAAATCCGAGGAGATGGAAATTTGATTTGATTCGATTCGAATCGATTCGAACTTTTCTTTCCATCCATTCTGAAATACAGAAATTACTTAGGATTCTTGTTATTTCTTTCTTTCTTTTTTTTTTTTTTTTTTCTTTCCAATAATATTCGCATATTTTGAATCGTTTATATTAATTTTATTCCACGATATTTGTAAATACATAGTTATACTATTCTAATGATGCAGTAAACTGCTCAAACTCGTATCAAATTACATATGTATTAAGTTACATATGAAATTACAGTACACCTTGTAATACTACGTATTATCGTGTCTAATGAAAACTGAGTGCATATATAGATAGATATAGATACAGAAGATAAATATTTCTATTTATTATAAATTTTTGAAATAGTTTGTAATTAATAATACAATTTCAAGGGGGGGGGGAGGGGAGGAACTTTTTCTCCCTTTTAAGCGCAATCTGTGCAAATATAACC